GGAGAATCCCGGGCACGGAGGGAGGGAGGCGGGGAGGCCTGAGGCCCTCCGGGAAACTCGCTGCACTCCCAGAATCGCCACGCTGGTCCTGGACGCCGCTGTGGGATCTTGGGACCCCAAGGTGGCCCAGAAGGGACCAAGGACTAGCCGGCGACTCTGGCGGGGTTGCCCAGGGGCCGTGCTGGGGTGACAGCAGAGTGAGGACAAGTCTGATCAATTAGGACGAAAAACACAGCCACAAACTCAAGTTCCAGACACTCGGCACATGTGTACCTTGATGACACTCTCCAGCCCCAAAGCCCAGCTTGACAGGCCACTGGCTGCATGCCAGGGCGGGGAACACCATGAGAGGTCCCAAAACACGTGGGGACCCAAGCCTCCTTGAAGCAAACCCCTGTCCCAACGTCAGCCTCAGAACACAGGGTCTTCATAAGGGAATGGGAAGGGCCCACAGAACTCTCTGTCCTCTCAGCTCACAGCTGGGATCGCAGAAACATTCACTGAGAAGACAAGGACCCCACAAGGCAGCCAAGTGCAGCCCAATGCAAACTGAGCAAGCAGTGCAGGCCTGGAATCCACTACTGGGCCCAGAGATAGTCAGCCAGTTACAGAGCAGGTGTGGGGCAAACTGCAGGGCACCGCAGAGTAGGGGAGGCTCATCGTGCACCCAGAAGCAAGGCAGACCCTGCAGGAAACTTAAGACCAGTGCCTTTGTGTCAGCCCTCCAGGCCTCCAGCAGAGGCCCTGCCTAACCAAGGGGACTGCAGGATGGCTTGTCTCTCACCCAGAGCCTAGTGATCAGAGGCTGAAGTAGTCTGCAGCCAGACGCCCATAGATGTCTGTGGTCCAAAGCACATGAGCACGGCCCGAAGCCAGCAGCAGCTGGTGCAACTCGGCTTCTACACGGGCAAACTTCTCCTCATTGATGGAGGCCTCCAGGAGGACAGAGGCAGGCGGTGGCCAGGGCAGGCCCTCATAGCAGTCCACAGGGAAGGGATGCACCACAGTACGCAGCTCAGCCTGCACCACTGAGTTCCGCAGCAGCTCCTTGAGGCCTGCCATGGACAGTGGGTTGCCATAGAGACCGAGGTAACGGAGACTGGCACACCGAATCAGGATAGGTAGTGTGGCCAGCAGCTGGGTATCAGCAAGCTGGCACTCAGTCAGCTCAAGGTGCAGCAGTGTAGCTGCCGCCGCCTGCAACAAACCCTGGAAGGGTGCCAGCTGGCTGCCAGATAGGTCATTACCACTCAGATCCAACTTCTTGAGGTGGGTAGCATGAGGGCTCCGTGCCAGGAAGCGCAGGTCCTCGGGCAGCAGAGCACAGAAGGCCAACTCCAGGCTCTCCAGAGGGCTTTGCAGGGTTCTGCAGGGGATACAGGGATCACAAACAGGCAGGATCAGGACAGGGTCCCCGTGGAGGAGAGGGGAGGAGCGGGGCAGTGGTGGGGCCTGCTCACCTGAGCAGTTGGTCCAGCCTCCCGGAAAGAAGAGAGGAGCCCATGCTGAGCTCCCGCAGACAAGTGAAGCGACCCATCTGGGCCAGGAAGTAGCGGAAGTTGTCCTCACCATCCACAGAGGGCTGCCTTGAGTCCCCATGCACGTAGTGCAGCCGCAAGCTGGCCAGGTGCTGGAAGCGGGCCACATGAGGGATGATGACGGACAGACCGCGCAGGCCCAGGTTGTTGAACCGCAGGTCCACACGGCGCAGACAGCCTGCATCCAGAAGCTGCAGCAGGGCCACAGTGTTGCGCATGGGCAGGTCCTCAGCACGCAGATCACGGCAGCAGAGGCGCAGCGGGCTGCCCACGCTGCTTCGGAGTGCCTCCCGCAGGAACGCATAGGAGGCCCGGTTCACCCGCAGGTCCACACGCACCTCCACAGGGACAGGAGCTGGCCCACACTCCGCAGCCCTGTCTTGCTGCTGGGCAATGCATGTGCGGGCTACGGCCGCCGTGCAGTCCCACATGCTCATGGTACCAGGGTCCTGCTCCACACCATCGTCCAGGAGGCCTGTCATGTCCAGCACTCGTAGTGTGTGCTTCCTGCAAACAGGGATGGCCTGAGGCAGGGGACGAGAAGGCAGGGCCCACACTCCCTCCCAGCGACCTTGGGACAGGAGCAGTGTGCCTGCTCCTGCACTGAACTCTACCTAACCTCAGGACCCCAGCCGGGAACCTCCTCAGGGGATTCTCTTTGTATCCCCCAGGCCCGAGGGATACCTTGAATAAGCCCATACCTGCAGAGAGGTTGAGTGCCGGCCTCAGCCTCTGGGGTGTGGAGCCGAGCAGTCAGCCCCAGGATAACAGCCTGCATGCTTTCTGTGCTCGGCCGCTCCTGCAGCAGAGCCCGGCTGCAGTGGGCACACTCCTGCAACAGCTGCTGGAAGCTGAGCAGCGGGAAGGGCCACGTATGTACCAGCTCGCGCAGTACGACAGTCTTCTTGTCCATGAAGGCCACCTTGAAGAGAAGGGGGAAGAGCTCGCGCGGTAGCTGGGGCAAAGCCTGGCAGGCAGCTGGCTGGCACTGGAGCACCTGCCGTGTGCTCAAGAACACAAGCGTGTGCATGGTGTTGGGCCAGGCAGGCGGCTACCTGCAAGAGAGCAACCTTCAATGGAGCAGACAGACCCCAGGCTATAAGCCCCTCCACACACCAGTGAGGGGAAAGCCCAACACAGTGCCTGACCTAGAGTCAACAGTTAGTGGAGGACTTGGCACAGAGAAGCACCTGTTAGGTGCCTAAGCACTGGGCTGGGCAGAGTGGCCTGGAGGGCAGGCCACACCCCAATCCTTGTCCTCCAGAAGCACAAGGTGGTCTTTAGGGAAACAAAACATTAAGCAGAACATAAAAACGGTGTGGCACCATCACTCCCGTGCGCAGTGGTGTGTGCTTTTGACAGACAATTGCTCTACAGGGCCTCCCACGGGTAGTTCAGGCCTCCCAAGTCATAACGACATTTCAGAAGTCCTTCCTCAAAAGTAAAACAAAGCTCAATCCCCTTCCCACCAACCTTCATCAGCACTAGAGGAGATGGGATACTCCCAGAGGGCCAGCAGCCACACCACGGTTCCCTCCCCGACCCTCCTCACAGAGGCTCTCAAATGCTGCCTTTGGATTCCAGGAAGGGCAGCAGAAAGGAGCTGGAAGGAGACACAGCTTAATGAACAACAGGGCAGGACGAGAGGGCCAGGGCCCAGGGAACAGCGACTCCAGATGACGTGGCTTATGAAATCCAAGCCCTCAACACGAGCCCCACAGAGGACTGTTGTGCAGGGCGTCACCACGCAGGGATACCCGACAGAGAGCCACCGTCACCTTCTGTAGTCCTTACCACCTTCTCTTCTCCCCTGGGGAACCGGTGTGGACAGACAAAGCCTCAAGCTTGTGGGATCCAGCAGGTCCCAGGCCAGGGATCGTTCAAATAAGGCAGAGAGAGCTCAAGAGATCCCGGGGCCACAGGGAGCCTGTGACGCAGGGCTCCGGCCCGCCGACTCCGGCAGCCGCAGGTCTGCGGACTCACCGGCGCCAGCACCGCGTCCCCAATCGCTAAGCCTGTGAGGTAGCTGTCATTGACACCCATTGTACAGATGAGCAAAGTGAGGCTCAGGAGGGAAGTGACTTGTTCGAGTTCACTGAGTGGCAGAACCAGGATGGTAGCCACTGCCCTTACTCTGGGCACTCACTGTCACCTGCGGGTGCTGGGCATCCTCAGAAAAGTGGTGAGCTGGACATGCTGTTGAGCTCTGCAGGATCCAGACAGCCCTGCAACTGTTCCCAGTGTGCAGAAAAGCCAGAAAATTTTCTCTCTGCATCCTGGCCTCCACCTCCGCTCCAGCCTACACAATCTGCCCCGCAGAGTTATTCTCCCTGGAAGAGCTTGGTAATTCAGGCTTTTCCAAACCCAGGAAAAGCCTCCCAGTTTAGAATCCTCCCCACAGTCTCTCCCTGGCCTCACCCCTGCCTCCCTCCCCTTCACTCCATAGTGCTCACCAAGCATATTGACCTGTTGCAGCTTCTCAAGCCACTCATACTTTCTTCTGCCTCTGTGCTTTGAAAGGGCTGTTCCCTTTGCCTGGAAGGCTCACTTACCACTCCCTTTTCCTAGTTTACTTCTATTGATCATTTCTATCTTAATGTGAATGTCACCTCCTCCCAGAAGCCTTCCTTCACCTCCTGGACTCGCTGAGGTCTCCCTGTTATATGTTCTCAGCAACCTGTGTGTCTCCTACATGGTGAGATGGGGTTACGTGTCTTCTCTTCATCCAGCCCTCTGTCACCTTGCAGTCTCAAGGAGAAACCCAGGAACAGTGAGGAAGGAGTGAGGGGGCAGGGGCACCCCTCAGTGTCAAGGTAATGGAAGGGGATCGATAAGATGGGGAGGGGACATGCCCTTGAAATACAGTATGGTCCCTGTTGTGCTGGCTGGGTGGTTGGGGATGTGCCTCTCCCATGCAGACTCTCTGAACACTGAAGGTAAGAAACTACTTCTCACTGTGTAAGTCTGACTGCTTGTACTGAACAGTCACCCTTTCCCTTGGCCCCCGTAATAACTTCGTATAGCATACATTATACGAAGTTATACGAGGGGGCGCGGGAGAGCCGGTCCCGCCCTGACCCTGACGCCCGCCCGCCCAGCGCTCTACCGGGAGTACCGCGCCCTGAAGCAGGTCCTGGGCCAGGCTGGCGGCGGGCCCCGCAGCCCCGAGCAGTCGCTCCCCGCGGCGGCCAAGGAGGTACACTGGCCCCGTCACCCCAGCCCAGCGGCGGCGGCGGACTGGGCAGAGTGGAGAAAGGCCGGCCCCGCTTGGGTGGGGTGGGGTCGGGGACTGGAGGCACCTCTGCACACACCAGCCTTGCTCTGGCCTGGGCCTCTACTGTCTCCTGCAGGCGCCAGAGCCCAGCTGCTGGGGGCCCCACCTGAATCGGGCGGCGACCCAGAGTCCGCAGCCTACTCCAGGGCCACGCTCGCGGAGGTGTGTGCAGGACTATGGGGAGAGACTCAAGGCCAACCTGAAGGGCGCCCTGCAGGTGAGGGCTGCGCGGGCAGTGCACGTTCCCCAGGCGCCCCTTCCTGTCCACCCTTCCACACACAGGCACAGGCACAGACACAGGCTTCTCCGCTCACTAGAGCGCCGCTCTCCTTACAGGTGCTGGGGTGGTCTCTGTTTTCAGCCTCTCTTCTGTCCCAGCTGCGCTGCTTATCCTGCCCCACCATTGAGGGTGGGGACTTGAGCAGGCTTCAGAGTCTGCAACAGCCCAGGGCCCTGAGTCCCTGCCTCTAGTCTGTCTTCTCCCTTGCAGGCCAGGCCAGCCTTGGGCCACATATCCTGGCCTCCACGAAGTACTTTGTCCAAGGTGCCCGCCCCAAGGCCGCCAGGCACAGCAGCTGCTCCCACCTCTCCAGAAGAAGTCAGTGATGTGCCCCGCCAGCCTTCTGGGTCCCAGCCAAGGCCAGGCCGGCTCCAGCAGCTGCGGGAGTCTCTGAGCCTACGGCTGGGCTCCCTAAACCCGGACTGGCTGCAGCAGTGTCACAGTGGGGCCCCCGAGGCCTGCAAGCCTGGCCTGGGCACAGAGGGATCGCAAGCTGTGACTTCAGGCGAGTCGGCCGTACGTGGCCCCAGCACTGGCTCCAAGGCACCTTCTCAGGACTCTGGTGCAGGGAGTCCCCAGTCCAGTGACAGTCGAAGCAAGAAGCGGAGACGGAGTGAGGAACCCAGGGGGAGCCCCGCACTGGCCCAGCGGGGCAGCTGCCCAGCGGGACCCCTGTCTGAGGGGGCTGGGGCTGCAGCACTTGAGCAAGAGCCTCCAGGGCAGCTTGCACAGGCACAGCCACCTCCACCCTACAGTGGTCACTTGGCACCCAGCTGCCCTGGCTTCGGTCCCTCGAGTCAAACTAGGGCAGGGAGCGGGCATCGCCCACCTGATTTGTCTCCTAGGACATCCCTTTGGGATGGGGGCAACTACGTGAAGCTCAACCTAAAGCAGAAACACTATGCACGGGGCGGGGCGCTTCGCGGCAGGCTCCTCCGCAAGCAGGTGAGAGGGTGACATGGGTCGGGGGTTCCCACACTCCTCCTCTGTCTCTTACCCACATGACCCTTCTCTGTGGGGACTCCCTAGGCGTGGAAGCAGAAGTGGCAGAAGAAAGAAGAGTGCTTTGGGGGTGGCAGGCCCCAAGCCTTGGTCAAGAATTCTTGTTTCCGGTGTGGGCAGTTTGGCCACTGGGTATCTCAGTGCCCCCAACCAGGTGAGGCTTCTGCCCTGGGGCGTAGGTCACACCAACACCACATGGAGGGGCTGCTGTGCTCTTCTGGGGCACATGTGGCTCAAGCAAAAGGCCCCATCGGTTTCCAGCCCCTGACTTAGGCCCAACCCTAGCTCCCCAGAAGGAGGCTGTTGAAGACAAAGGTGGTGCTCGGTCCTTTCTCACTTTGGAGGAAGCAGCACAGAGGACAGAAACCGCCCACTGCCAGCTCCCCGGTGAGTGGGGGTAGGGCAGTTGTGGCCGGTGGCCATCTTGCTAGAATGACTTCAGCCCAGCAGGGAGCACCCACAGCACCCTCTTCTGTCTGCCCAAGCAGGTGCAGAGGACACAGGGCCTTCTGGGTCTGAGCTGCTGGTGCCCACACAGTGGCCTGTGCCCAAGGCACCCCGCCTGAGCCCCGCCATGCTGCCATTCTACCCACCAGGGCCCTCAGGGCAGGTAGCAGGTGAGCAGATATCTGCTGGCCCCCAGCTCTTACTGAGGAGTTGTGGTGACTCGGGCCGTTGTGACCAACATCTGTACCTGCAGAGACACCAGCTGAGGTGTTCCAGGCTCTCCAGCGGCTGGGGCACCGAGCCTTCCGCCCTGGGCAGGAGCAGGCAGTCATGCAGATCCTGTCTGGTGAGCACAGCTATGTGGGGCTGAGGGGGCCCCAGCCAGGCCTCAGAGCCTTGTACTGACTGTCGTCCTACCCAGGCATCTCCACGCTGCTGGTGCTGCCCACAGGCGCTGGCAAGTCACTGTGCTACCAGCTGCCAGCTCTGCTCTATGCCCAGCGCAGTCCCTGCCTCACCCTGGTTGTCTCTCCCCTCCTGTCGCTCATGGATGACCAGGTGTGTGGGCAGAGTCCCCGGCAAGCGTAGATGGCTAGGAACCAACATCTCAGCTCTCTTGGGCTGCTGTTGCTTGCCCAGAACCCACTCCCTACCCCAGAACCTGCCAGGAGCTTGCTGTCCTTGGCTCCAGACCTGGCAGTCCCCAAGGAAAGCACAGCTTGACAGCACCACCCCCAGCCCACCCCAAGGCAGTGTCACTAGGAAGGGGAGCCATCTCCACTGGGACCCAGCTGCTCCAGGGTCTTGGGCCAGTTCCCACAGGTAGCTCAGAACTCTTACTCCCAGGACCTAGGGTCTGGTTATTCTCTCCCTAGAAAGCCTTTGGGCGGAGGTCTTGGCAAAGGGCTGGGGTTGGCTGGCCTGTGACATCCCTGCTTCTGTGTCTGCAGGTAACAGGCCTGCCCCCATGTCTCAAGGCCTCCTGCCTCCACTCAGGCATGACCAGGAAGCAGCGGGAGTCAGTTCTGCAGAAGGTGGATGGCCTCATGGGTTGGAGGAGGGGGCAGTGGGCAGAGACCTGGGCTGTGCCCCTGACCTTGCTCCTTTCAGGTGCGGGCAGGCCAGGTGCATGTGCTGATGCTGTCACCAGAGGCACTGGTGGGGGCTGGGGCGGGGGGCCCTGTCAGCCTCCCGCAGGCCACCCAGCTGCCTCCAATCGCCTTTGCCTGCATCGACGAGGCTCACTGCCTTTCTCAGTGGTCCCACAACTTCCGGCCCTGCTACCTGCGCGTGTGTAAGGTGAGCCATGTGTGGGTCAGCAAGATGGTTGGGCTGGGCAGCCTCACCACTGGCCCTACCTTCTGGCACAGGTACTTCGGGAGCGCATGGGCGTGCACTGCTTGCTGGGACTCACTGCTACGGCCACACGCAGCACAGCCCGTGACGTGGCCCGGCACCTGGGTGTAGCCGAACAGCTTGGTTTCAGTGGATCAGCTGCTGTCCCTGCCAACCTGTACCTCTCTGTGTCCATGGATAGGGACCCAGAGGAGGTATGTATGCTCATTCGAGGGACCCCAGCAGAGGCCTAGCTTCTGACTGCACACACTGATCACTGGTCTTTGCTAGGCCTTGGTGGCGCTGCTACAGGGTGACCGTTTTCGTGTCCTGGGTTCCATCATCGTTTACTGCAACCGACGTGAAGACACAGAGCGGGTTGCTGCGCTCCTCCGAACCCGCCTGTGTGCTGCCCGGGGCCCGGGGCCAAGAGGTGAGCCACAGGCAGGGCTGGGGCCCCTGTGAACCCTCCCTGGGCATGCATGTCCCTGTCCCACTGACCACTGGTTCCTCTTCCCCAAAGGTCATGTGTCAGAGGCTGTAGCTGAAGCCTACCATGCCGGCATGAGCAGCCGGGAGCGACGGCGGGTGCAGCAGGCCTTCATGCAAGGCCAGGTGCGGGTGGTGGTGGCCACGGTGGCCTTCGGGATGGGGCTGGACCGACCGGATGTGCGGGCCGTGCTCCACCTGGGGATGCCCCCAAGCTTCGAGAGCTACGTGCAGGCCGTGGGCCGGGCCGGGCGTGACGGGCAGCCTGCCCACTGCCACCTCTTCCTGCATCCCCAGGTTGGCACCCCCTTCCCCCCCACTCCAGCCCCCCAGGCTTCGGCCCCACCTTCACAGCTGTCCTGCTACAGGGCAAAGACCTGCAGGAGCTGCGCAAACACGTGCATGCCGAAGGCACTGACTTCCTTGCCGTGAAGAAACTGGTGCAGCTCGCCTTCCCACCCTGCACCTGCACCCGGCCGCCCCCAGAGCAGGAGGAACACAAGAGCGGGGAGAGGCCTGTGGCCATGTCCTCCCTTCAGGAGGCCAAGCAACACAGCAGCCACTCAACAGCTCCAGTACCCAGAAGGGCCTGCCCAGGCCATGAGCAGACACTCCCAGTGCAGCCGACGGTGCAGGCTCTGGACATGCCGGAGGAGGGTGAGGGGCCTGGGGGAGGGGAGGGGCCTGCGGGAGGGGGAGGGGCCTGGGGAGGGGTCATTCCCACGTTTCCTGAGTCCTGCTATGCCCCCAGCCATCGAGACTCTGCTGTGCTACCTGGAGCTGCACCCACTGCGTTGGCTGGAGCTGCTGACGCCTACCTATGCTCACTGCCGCCTGCACTGCCCTGGGGGCCCCGCCCAGCTCCAGGCCCTGGCCAACAGGTGAGCACAGCCCATGCTGGGCTGGGGACAGGGACAAAGAACCAGGGCTGCTGGTGACACGCACACTTCCCCCACCCCCGCAGGTGTCCCCCTGTGGCCATGTGCTTGGCCCGGCAGCCACCTGAGGATGGAAAGCGGTGCAGCAGTTCCGTGGACTGTGATGTAGCTGAGCTGGCAGACTCGATGGGCTGGGAGCTGGCCTCCGTGCGGAGGGCTCTCCGCCAGCTGCAGTGGGACCCAGAGTCCAGGACAGGTATGCCCACCTCTGCCCCGCCCTGGGCCCTGCTTGCTGCTTGCCTGCCAACCTGTGTCTGACGTGCTTTCTGGCAGGTAAGCCACAAGGCACAGGGGTGTTTGTGGAGTTTGGGAAGCTGGCCTTCCACCTGCGCAGCCCTGGGGACCTGACAGGCGAGGAGAGAGACCAGATCTGCGATTTCCTGTACGGCCGTGTGCAGGCCCGGGAGCGCGAGGCCCTGGCCCTTCTGCACCGAACCTTCCAGGCCTTTCACAGGTGAGGAGGAGGTAGGCAGGGCCTGAGGCTACTCACCCTCCCCCTGTGGGCATTTCTGACAGGCTCATTCCCTCTCAGCGTGGCCTTCCCCAGCTGCGGGCCCTGCCTGGAGCAGGCTAATGAGGAGCGCAGCACCAGGCTCAAGGATCTGCTTGGCCACTACTTTGAGGAAGATGAAGAAAAGGCACAGGGGCCAGTGGGCATGGAAGAGCTGCAGGGCCCAGAGCCAGGGCAGGCCAGGGTGAGCGCCAGCCCCTCCTGGAGCGCAGGCTGTGGACCCAGGGAAGGCTAGGTGTGACATGCACGTACACCAGACTTCACAGTTGGACCCACCCCAGCCTGGCTTAAGATCTCCTGGGCTGCCCAGAGCTGGGCTGTGTGGAACCCAGTGCCACAAAGCTCGGGGAAGCTTGACCCGCCCTCCCACCTGCAGGTGCAGGACTGGGAGGACCAGATCCGCCGTGACATCCGCCAACTTCTGTCCCTACGGCCAGAGGAGAAGTTCTCAGGCAGGGCTGTGGCCCGCATCTTCCACGGCATCGGTGAGGCCCAGGAGGCTTGGAACAATGCAGGCAGGGGCTGGAGGCCAGAGCCAGCCAACACACTCACACCTGTGTCTTTCTGGTCCACCGTAGGGAGCCCCTGCTACCCAGCCCAGGTGTACGGGCAGGACCGGCGCTTCTGGAGAAAGTACCTGCACCTGAGCTTCCATGCCCTGATGCACTTGGCCACAGAAGAGATCCTGCTGGTCAGCCACTGACTGCCCCACATGGGAGGGCACTGGCTCTGTGGCCCCCATGTGGAGGTTGTCGAATATAGCAGCTTGTCAAGGCAAAGGTGGACCTGTCAGTGGCCAGGACAGTGACTGACCACCTGAGCAAAACCCACCAGCAGGAGCGTGGGGATGAGGAGGCTCCAAAATGCAGAATAAAACATGAAGTTGTTTTTGTGAGCCGTTTTTTTTGGTGAGGCAGCCCTGCACCCTGAGAGCAGCTGCATGTTATACTCCAGACTCAGACACAGGCTTCTGGGCCTCAGGCACAGTCGGCTTTATTGACCAGTCCAGCTGCCAGCTCAGGCCAGGGTGCTGGGTGCCATGCCCAGGCCCAGAAGGGGCAGGGCTGAGAGGGCGAGGAGGAAAGAGAAGCAGAGACGCAGCCCCAGGCCGTCGGCCAGGGCCCCAGCCAGGGCGCCCAGCAGCAGCTTCCCCAGCAGCTCCAGAGTGGCCAGGAGGCTGTAGTGGGTGGCCTGGGGGTGGGGGTGGGGCGGTCAGGGCCTGCCTGGACACCCAGCCCTGCAGCCCCTGGTCACCCCTGCTACAACTCTTCACCTGCAGGGCACTGGCTGCCAGCTGGCTGCAGCGCATCATCACAGTGAAGGTGACAGTGGTGACCAGGCCCCCTAGTAAGTGCTGCAGACACAGGCTCAGCAAGGCTGCTCCTGCAAGGGCAGAGGTCAGCAGTGCCCAGGGCTCCTGGTCCCTCCCACCCCAGGGCCAGCCCCTTACCTCTCAGGGCTGTGCCATGGCCCAGGCTGGCCCCTGGTGTGTCCAGGTGGAAGAGCAGGGCAGTCTGGCAGGCCAGGCCGCCAAGGCGGAGCCGCAGCACTAACCTCAACAGGGGCAGTGGCTGCCTGGGGAGATGGGGAGTGGAGAGGTTGGGCAGGTCAGGGGATTTGAGGGGGTGAGAGGTGGGCAGGGTGGGCTGGGGAGGACTCACCAGTGCCTGGACAACAGGGCCCCACCCAGGGAGGAGCCGGCAATGGAGCAGGCCATGGCGCCCACACCATTCCACAGCCCCAGCTCCAGGGCTGAAGCACCACGGTCCAGCAGGAGGAGCGGAAATAGGCTGCTGGCTCCCTGCTCACCTGCAGGGAGACTGTGGGCAGAGGTGGCCCCCATACCTGCCCCAACCCTCCCCACTTGGGCCTTCAGTCATCATGCTCCACCCAGCCAGGCCCCTGCCCTGCCTCCGTCTTCCTTGGCCATTGGTGCTGGCAGAGAAATGGGACTAAGCATTGGCGAAGCCCATGGTCAGCATGAAGCAACTCCAGAGGCCCACAGGGCTGTGGCTGGAGCTGAGGAGGGGCAAGAGACAAGGCCCAGCTACAGAGCCCTGGGTGTCAGGGCCAGGCTGGACTCCAGCCTGCAGGTCCTACCCCAGAGCTCCTGGGAACCCACCTGGAGCTGCCCCTGAAGCCCCACCCCTGCTGCTACCTCACCGGAGGCCTTACTCACCGAGCTTGTAGGTGAGCACAAAGCCTGCTGTCCACAGGGTCCCAGGCACAGCCAGCAAATCCTGCAGGAGGCGCAGTGCGTGGCGAGGAGGCCCTGAGGGCTGAGGCTGTGGCAGCTGGCGCAGGGCTGGTGCAGCCCAGGCCAGGGCAGCAGCCAGCCAGTAGGTGGCAGCCAGGAGCAGGAAGAGCAGCGGCCAAGAGAGGGTGGGCAAGAGGGCCAGCAGCCCACCCCCAGCCAGCGCTGCTCCCAGCTTGTAAGCAACCACCTGCACGGTGTTGCCAGGCCCCAGCTCAGCCGGCTCCAGGAGCTGCACGGCCAGCGTGTCCAGGGCCACGTCCTGCACAGCGGCAACCAGGTTCAGCAGCAGCAGCAGCCCCACCGCAGTGGTGGGTAGCCCGGCCCGGCCAGCCTCGGCAGGAGGCAGCGCTGCCAGGAGCCCGCACACCAAGCCCAGGGCCGCTGTGCTGAGCGCCAGCCAGGCCCTCGGGGAGCCCCGCGTGTCCACCAGCGGGGCCCACAGCAGCTTGAATAGCCAGGGTGCATATAGCACCTTGGCCAGCCCCACGCGGGTCAGGGAGAGGCCACGGGCCCGCAGCAGCACCGGCAGCAGACCCGCCTGCAGCCCGTAAGGCAAGCCCTGCACCAGGTAGAGGCCGGCCAGCGGCAGCAGCTTCCCGTGCATGGGCAGCGCTCGGGGGCTCGGGCAGGGTCGAGGCCGGGAGACCAGGTGCCAGGCGGAGACTGGCGGGATGGGCCCATCGGCACGTGGTCAGAGGTCAGGCTCCGGCCTGGCTTTGGGGCTGGAGCCAGACAGGGTCAGAGTTGGGCAGGCTCAGATCTGCACGCGCGCCCTCGGGGCCCCGGGGTGTCGATACCCTGGAAGAACCGAAGCCCGGCTCGCACGGGAGGCGAGCGTCCGCGGCTCTCACCAGGCTTCCGCGCCCCGGCAGGGAAGGAGCGGGGCGGACCCTTCCGGGGGGCGGGGCCGGCTCGGCGGGCCCTTCCGG